ATGTACATTATTCATTCTATTTAATCAATTGTAGTTTTACTTCGTAAAGCAAATTTAGATTTGCATAATTTCCTAGAATTGTTTTGCATCATTATCTTAAGATCAAAGAAAATGAGGAATAACAGCATTGTTCACAAATTACGCGTATCGATCAAAAATTTTACACATACAATGTCACATTACAATATCGCTATAAATATCCTGAATAACTCTAAAAGCATGCTGTGCTATTATATAAATACTATACATTTTAAATGTTTATTCCACACAGAAAATTTACCTGCATCCACTTGCTGCTTGTATCTTAATTTGACAATGCAGTAAAACTTGTTTAGTTGTAAAAGGTCAATACATAAAATAAGATGCTCTCTCTATCGCCATTCTTCTTTTATTCAGATCTCAATCTCGATTCCCTAATCTTTCCTAGAAACACAATTGATTTAAACGATAATATAAATCTCCAATCTTGTTTCTCCTACTTACAAACATCATTTGGTTACTTGAAAAAGAGTTTAATTAAAATTCTAACAAAAAAACTGACTTTATTTCTTTTATTTACAGAAACATTGTTTAATTATCTACAAATAAAACAATTCAGTGATAAGTATTCAAAAGTAATAAATAAATGAAAAATATATTAATCCTTAAAAAAAAAAAAAAAAAAAAAGTAAAAATAACTCAACCAAGATTTTCCAACTCGACTAATTCTCTCTAATAGCATACAATTGAATGTGCAAATAAGGCCGCGAATAGATAAAAATATTCCTATAAATCGTCGATGGCACACATTCACGCACGACTCCTTGAAACCTGTTGTCTTGCATCGTCGTGCACCTGCTGCACAGAATACAAATAAAAAAGTACATAGTAACCATGGAATAATTTTTATGTGTATAAAATGGCCATTCGGTGTGACCTTCGTTTAAACGACATAGAAATTGGAAATGCGATGATCGTAAACTGGTGAATATCGTCTACCATTCGTTTTACGGTTCGGCGACGATCGAAAACCTGCAACATAATGCAATTCGAATTGGTTTGCTTTTTCGCAACTAACGTTCTCATCTCGTTCTCTGTTCCTGCGGTCAGGATAAAAAATGGTTTTTCCATAGTTGATTCTCGGTAGACTCGTATATCAATGAATCTATTCCTATACATCACTTATCTGCATACAAACACGCGAAAAAGCACATGTCATTTGTAAGCAGAAAATGCACGTCTCGTGTAAGCGATTCCATGTATTTTAAAATTCCTGTGGAATATCTTTTTTTTTTTTTTTTTTAACAGGAAAATTCTAACAACGGTAAACTCGAGTACCGCAAATTCTTCTTGAATATTTTTTAATTCTATCGCAGCGACATGTAAATATCCAACACAAGCATGTAATTATCACTACAGATATTTCCAATTGCATGTCACTAATACTATTTACACTTGCGCTTCTATATTGAATAATATTTGATCGCGTTAAGGTACACAGATGATAAGAGAGAAAGAAATCAGTCTGATAATCGCGGTAAAATAAACTTCCATTTACAAACAACAATGAAAGGAATGGTCAACTATATGCGGGCTGTTTATGAGAACCGCGCGGAGGAATTTCCCTTTTAGCGGCGTAATTAATTACACCGTTGCCTCGGTGGCGTCTCGATACCTAGTCAGATACCTCTGCGCGTACCTTATCTCCTTATCTAAAAGCAAAAAAGACAAGCGTCATTGGCCCCGGTCACATTATTCAGTGGAGACACGTGAGAAACGCAGAACGGTCAGGCAGAGCAAGCACATGTACATTAAGACCGTATAGCCGGTTATTATGTAGCCGATATGGCTCCGAAGCAATTAATACTATTGTTATGATTCAGACGAATACGTCATGTGTGCTTGAACAACGATGCAACCATCGCGTTTCGGTTAGTATTCGACAATAGAGACTCGCGGCTACTCGTTCCCGGCTCGGCCCGCTCCGCAAAACGTGCTCCACTCCGATCCGCTCGCGCTTAAATGGCTTTCTAACTAATGTCTTGAGAAATGCACGCATGCATGCCACCTGGAACGGATGTAATTAATTACGCCCCGCTCAGTGTCGTGAGAGTACATGATACAGTATCGACGAGTAATCATTTGATGTGGTTTCGTCGGTTTTACTTAATTCGCTGATTGCAAGGAAAATCCTGATTTCGGCGGTGATCAAGCAACAGATATGAAACGCGGTGGAAGAACTGAAATATACGATAATCGCACGGTGATTGTGTAAACCTGTGCATGTTGCAGTGACTCAACTCATTGGAAAGGAAATGATAACGATGAATGTTCGTGAAAACCGTGGAACGATTTTGTGACTAAGGTGTAATCAGTGAGGTGGTAGTAAATAGCCTTTGTAATAGATGTTACGGAGAGATATTGGTGAAAACGAGTAGCAAAGAATAAACAAGCAATTATGTCGAATAAAAATCTATCTGAGAAGGAGTCTTCGTACAGTATTGCGATACAGGATGAAAAGGCGGCGAGTGAGAAGTATAGCAAAGGCAACGCGCAAAAGAATCCGGAAGAAGTTGTTAAGAAATCGAGCAAAGCGACACAGATTGATTTTATCCAATTATCTTATGGCACACAGAGAATCAGACCGACTTCTCTGGCCTATTTGCCAAAGCAGACGCAAATGAGCGAATCCAGTTATCCCTCTTATAATTCCAGAAGCTCTTCCTTATGCCCGTCTCAGAGTGAATTAATTCTATCGCCGAGAAACAGGAACAGTCGTTATGTAGCTTTAGATATGAGATCAATAGGTAGCCTTCCACTTTCGAATAGCCATGCCTCGATAAATAACATGCCATACACTTGTTGTTGTACGTGTGTGGGATCACCTGTACCTCCAACATCTTCCTCACAACAGACGGAGGAACAAGATGGTCCTGAAGGTCTTTCATGGAGGAGACTTCACATGAGCAGAGCTAAATTAAAAGCAACTGCGACAACGTCGGAGTTACTGAGCGGTTTCGCCATGGTGAGCGTTATGTTTCGTCATCGTGTGAAAACGAAGATGACCATGACGATTTGTTATAATATTTAATCGTCTATTAAAATTCCTTGGGCAGTTGCTTATACGATGATGATCGATTACGCTATTAATCATCCATACGTTCCTCCTTAATGATGCGCACAGATATTGCGACAATGTGAGCATATATTCTTTTGAGAATTCCATTGTAATAAATTCCAAAATGCTTGCTGTTGAACATTCCTTTCGGGCGAATTAATTTTCCAAGAAAATCTATGTTTGTATAATCAGAAAACCCGCGGTGGATTACACAACATTTCCTGAAAATCATTAAACAGACGTGGACGACAATTCCGTGTAATCTTCAGTCTCGTCTATGATTACATAAGACAAATATCACTTTCTTTAACAATACACCTCGGATTGACGTAGCTGTAATTGCTTTTACAATGCGCTTCGTTGCTTTACAATCGCGTCGAAAAAGTTCGTGATCTCATCCAAAACTGTGGAAAGCACATATGAATCCAACGTATAAAACCAGCCGAAGGCTGGAATTATATTTCTTAGAAAATACTTGCTCTAATTGGCCGGCATTAAAATTGTATCAGTCGAATTTTTATTGTCTTCTTTTTTATTTTTTTTTCAGGTGGCTATGGTTGAGCTGCAAATAAACGAACCAACCGCAGTGCCGGAATGGCTGTTTGTGATGTTCGCTGTTTGCACGACCGTTCTAGTATCAGTACACATCTTTGCTTTAATGATAAGCACGTATTTATTGCCCAATATTGAGGCTGTCAGTAAGCTTCACGTATCTCGGCTTGTCACGGAATCTCCTCATGAAAGAATGCGCGGCTTCATCGAGCTGGCTTGGGCATTTTCCACGGTATTAGGATTGTTCTTGTTCCTAGTGGAGGTGGCTATACTGTGCTGGGTGAAATTCTGGGATTACTCGTTCACCGCCGCCACTGCCAGTACAATTATAGTAATTCCAGTCCTCATAGTGTTCATTGCATTCGCCGTTCATTTTTATCATTCGTTGGTGGTGTATAAATGCGAATCCTCGGTGACTGACATAAACGAGTTGGAGAGCATCAAAAGAAATTTAGATAACGTAACGATGAGACAGAGCAGCGTCTGATGATTCTGTAAGAGATTGTCATCATGTTCATCGATCGTTGTGTCCTTGCCTCCTAAAATATGTCCCAGAGTGTATGTTATTTACTCGCGTTTTATTCCGTAACGGTATTGTAATCGTACTTAATGATATATACGCTATATTCAAGTACACGTAAACAATCATGGAAAATGAACACATGTAAGTTTATTCAATAACTTTACTTATTCAACACGAGCACGCATGAAGCACGATCGTGTTTTTTTATTATATATAAAAATGTACATAGCTGTACACATGCAAGTCAAGAATTGCAACAGTACAAGCAAAGTGCTCTTATAAGTATATTAGCTATATTATTTTAGCATTTAATTATATACTATTTATGACTTAATTTCCGATTTTTCCTTTTAAATGTATTTTCCTCATTTACTTTGCTTTTTATTTCATACATCGTATCGCTAATATGTATATATATATATATATATTTTTTTTTTTCTTTTTCGTCACTTAGTTTGTGGGAAAACTGAAGGACAGTTGAGTGTGTTACTTATGTACATGCTTCTCATTCTGAAACTTGTTATCCTAGTCAAAATAAATAATCCATCAGACTTAAAGACTCTCGTT